GGGAGGGGGAGGGGGAGGGGGGAAGGCAGGCATCTCTGCCAGATTTATGCTCAGGCAACCTCATGTCCGGTGTTAGAGCCAGAGGAAGCAACCTGAGGCTTCTTGAGACCACCGAGTGCTGTGCTGTGTTTCACAGACAGTCCTGTAAGGAATGAATAGATTTCCCCCAGATAAAAAGAGCTCTATGGTCAAATTTGTTTGGGGAACACTGGATTGAAGGAAGCAAAGCTAATTTTTGCAGTCGCGGGCTCAGTCAGCACCTTTACCCTTTCAAGTAGCTTTGCCACATGCCGAATGCACCACGCTGCATGGTGGAGCTGCAGCAGGGAGCAGATCGTCCCCAGGCCTTAGCTGGGTGTGGCAGTACAGCCTGCAATCCCTGCAATCCCAGCACTCTGAAAGGCTGCAGCAGGAAGACTGCCAGTCTCATAGTAAGAACTGAAAAGGAATGGGAGCTCAGTGTGAAGGTCTGGGGTTCAGCCTCTGGTACTGAAAAAACAAGCAAACCCGCTCTGCTCATGTGCTGTGGGCCTTGGGCACAGGCTGTTTCCAGAAGCTCCTGCAGGTGATCAGCCACAGTGGAGAACTACAAGTCCCAGTGGGAAGATAAGGAGTGAATCGATGGCTGTGGTCGGTCCACTGCAGGGAGAACCAAAGGTGGGGGCCGCCTTTGCCTGGGCAGTGAGGGAGGCTCCCCCAGGGAAGGAAGGTCTCAGAAGAAGGCTGGTGGTAGAGGAGGGTGGACAGCCCAGATGGGATGAGGTGTGCCGGGGACCTCCCGGGGAAGGTGACCCCCGAAACACGAGTAAGAGACACGGAATGAGGTTGGAGTTCAGGGCCAGGGATTCCAGGGTATCTTCCAACTTTGAGTCTAAGCCTCAGTTTGTTTGTCTGTACCCTGGGAGTGCTGTTGGGACCTGTCTTTAGGATTGATCTGAGAGAGGGAAATGGGGAGTCCTTGGAGGGCTTTCAGCAAGATGCTAAAGTAATCCAGGATCTGCGGGATGAAGGGAAAGGGGTGACCCAAGGTCAAGTGGAAAAGCAGCGGAAGCCTTCTGCATGGCATCCCTTCTAGTGCCACTGTGGGACTGTGTGGTGGCTAGTGTGCATCTATGGAGCACCTACCGTATACCCCGGGTGAGTGAAACGCAGCTCTTGGCTTCTGCAGCTCATGCTGGGCCCGGAGCCCCGAGCCATCTGTGGGGTGCCTATTTACTGCAAAGGGAAGAATGGGGGGACTCTGCCTTTCTGCGCTTCTCTGACAGACACATTTGAGCAGTTCAGCTCCCCTCGGGTCTGAGGTGCACGCTTGAGTTTCTACAAAAAGACAGTAGGCGAGAGACAAGAGAGGTGACTTCCACACTCCCAGGCTGCATGTTAGGGGAGCTGGGCAATGTCCTGGGCTGTCCATTCCTGCATCATTATAGGCTCTCTGTTCCCCAGCAGTGACTCTGAACTAGATACCAAGTCCTCTGAATTGAACCCATGAGGCCAGGGCTTGAAAGTAGAATAAGCAATCTGCAGCTGAAAGTCTTTTGGAAGGCCTAGAAATAACAGTTTCTGTGTAATTGAGCACCTAGTATGTGCCAGGTACATTGCCCAGGGCATTCTGCTTTTTTATCTTCCCAGGAATTTTAGATGCGAATTAGATCTGTGCCCATTTTACAGGTAAGAAAATAGTATGGAGATGAAAGTCCACTAGGAAAGACAGGGATGGGATTCAAATGTGGGCCCAGTTGTTGGGTTTGCTTTCCTTACTCCCTGGAGCCACCAAACCCAAGCTGTGACCAACAATGGCCTCTCTGGGTACCTGGGAGACATCAAACTTAAAAGCTCCAGAGCCGAGGGCTTTGGGGTTCCTGGTTTATTCTAGAATCATAGAATTCTTCACTTACTTGTTAGTGAAGTACAGTAGTAGCTCAGAAAGTAGGCTTTAACTTGGGTGTGGTGGCACACACCTGTAATCTCAGCACTCTGGGAGGCTGGGACAGAAGGACCATACTTTTTTGTAGAACTGGGGATTGAACTCAGGCCCTTGTGCTTGCCAGGGAAACACTTACTCCATTGAGCCATGCCCCTGGCCCCATAATAACTTTGAGCCCAGCCTGGACAACTTAGCAAGTTAGTGAGACCCTGTCTCTAAATAGAAAAGTTTAAAAAGAGGAGAGGAGTTGGGGCTGGAGCTCAGTGATAGACCCTGGGCTCAATCCTCAATACAAAAAGGGAAAAAAGTAGGCTCACCTGGAGTTAATCTACCTAGAACGGAATTACCCTGCTCTTTCCCCACCCAACCATATGATGATAGACAAATAACGTTCTATGTGTGTCCGTTTCTTTATCTATAAAATGGGGATTTACTTGTTTTCAGGGTTGATATGAGGATGTAATGAGTTGATTAATGTTAGGCATTTCAATGACTATGTGATACGGAGGGATTTTCACTAAAAGTCCTGCCCTATTGGTTTTATTGTGATTGCCACAGCCACATATTGTGAGGTCCCTGACTCAGCCAGGCCATGAACAGGAAGTGGGACCACACAGTCTGGAGGAGACAGGATGCTGTCCCCAGGCACCTCCGATGCCACTTTCTCAAAGGGACAGCAAGCAGCTCCTGTTTGTGGAACACTCACTTTAGGGTCGCAGTTCAGTCCCTCAGATGCTTAGGCTCACAGTTCAGTCTTGGGTGCTGACCACGGGTGCCACATAAGGTACAGCAGGAGTTCGCTCCTCCTGGTGGGCAGAGCCCCTCACGCGCTCCCTGCCCACACCTGCCTGCGTGGGTGTGCACAGACTCGGGCCTCTGCCCTTCCCATGCCTCCATCATGCTCCATGTGGGTGACACGTGGGAGCTCCCCACACAGGCTGAGCCAAGGTCCTCAGGGTCTCCCCATGGAGCAGAGCCCTGTCGGGGCCATCGCAAGCACAGGCCTGGGAGTCCACCCCATCAAATTCTTGCCCTGCCGTGCAGTCACTCTGGGTCCTGGACCAGCACACTTTCTGTGCCTCAGTTTCCCATCTGTAAAGTGGGGGTGATGATGACAGCTACTTTGTGGGGCCCCTGTGAGGCTGACACAGAACAGCACCCCAGCTCTCCCTCTGTCATGCTGTTGGCAACGTTCCTGATGATCAGGAATGGTGGGGTGGTCCCCATCAGGAACGGCGCAATGTTTGAGTACCACCAAGAGGGTCCCAGGGATGTGGGTTTCCTTGCTTGTCCACTCCCTGGACTCAGGAGCCAGTGTTCTGTGCGTGAACAAGCTCTGCAGATCCCTAACAATTCCCCTGTGGTGGGAGGACACCCCACCCAACACCTGCTTCCAGAAACACCAGTCACTACCGTGTGTTGGGGACCAGGGACACAAAGCTGAGTGGGATGCAGAGCGTGCTCCCTAGATGCTCCTACAAGGGGACACAACCCACTGGGGGGAGGGCAGGGACAGGTCGGGTCTGTGGCCAGGGCAGAGCTGGTGGGGGAATAGGGGGATGAGGATGGTCCTGAGGAGGGTACAGGGGGACAAACCCGCCTTGGGAGGGGTGTCCTGGGGCTGTGTTCCAAAGAGGCCCCATCCCCTGTGGCAAGTGGCTCAGCAGGGCGACTTGTGATTGAGGTAAATGACAGGGCTGGGGTAGCATCCAAGGGCTTCCACCTCTATACCCAGTGACCCTCAGCGCTGCCCTGTGTCGACCACAGCGGCAGGGACGCCACAGGCCCAGGGCCCCAGAGGAAGCTGTGTTGCCAGGAGACAGAGGGTTTAGGGAAGTGTTTCTCCCGGGCCTGAGGCCCAAGACCCAAGGTCACACCATCCACAGGTGCCTCCTCCTGAGTGTCCCTGCCTGGCCACCTCTCCCACTGTCCTCTCATGGCCTCCCTTGGTGTGTCTGTGTCCTAGTCTGGCCTTCCTGGGGACACCAGACTTAAAAGAGACAAAGGGCTTTTTTAAAGTCTCTGCCTCTAAATAAAGTCTCATTGTAGCTGGGTGGGAAGAACCCAGGGCAATTAAGCAACTCAGTGACACCTTCTGTCAAAATTTTAAAAGAGCTGCTGGGGAGCTGCGTGCAAGCTCAGTGCATAGGCCTTAGGGTCCATCCCTACTACTACCGAAACCAACTACATATATAACCAGGGGGAAGCAGATCCGAACCTAGCACCTTGTCCTGCAGAAGCCGCAGCCAGGCGCTCAGCCCCGAGGCCAGCGTGGATGAAGGCGGCGTGTTTGAGAGCCTGAAGGCCGAGCCGGCTGCCCCACCTGCACTCTTCTCTGGCCTGGCCAGCAGCCTGCCCCTGCCTGCAAGCCCCTTCCCGGCCAGCTTGGTGCTGGGCTCCTCGGCGAGCGGTGGGGACGTGTTCCTCCCGATGCCCACGTCCAGGGACGACGGTGGCGGCCGCACTGGCGAGGGCGGGGTTTACCACCTCCGCCAGCCTCACCATCACTTCCACCACGGCACCCACCGCGGGGGCTCCCTGCTGCAGCACGTGGGTGGGGACCACCGTGGACACTCGGAGGAAGGGGGTGACGAGCAGCCGGGGACGCCCGCGCCCGCCCTGTCGGAGCTGAAGGCCGTCATCTGCTGGCTGCAGAAAGGGCTTCCCTTCATCCTGATCCTGCTGGCCAAGGTGTGCTTCCAGCACAAGCTCGGTGAGTCCCGGGGACATGGGTGTCACCGCCTTGGGCTCCACTTGTGGGTCCCCTGGAGCTCCTGAGGTGGGGCTTCGGCATCCGGTGTTCCAGGAGATGGCAGCAAAGGCTGGCATAGAGCAGAATACTTAACTGTGGGATACTGCTCAGACCTGAATTCAGATTCGGGCAGTTCAGTTGGCTTCCCTGAGCCTCAGTTTCCTCATCTGTCCAGTGAGGCTTGTGACTGAAACATAATCAGCTACTCAGGTGGCGGGAAGGAGTAGCCTGTCAGAACCAAGCACTCAGACTGCCAAGATCCGCACCCTGTTCTGCCCTTTCCTGGCTGTGTGACACTGGAAAGGTTGCTTAACCTCTCTGTGTCTCATTCCCTCTTCTGCCAAGGGGGGCTAACAGGGCATGCACAGGCAGCCCCCTGTGTCTGCAGCCTCTGCATCCGGTGTTCAGCCAACCTCAGGTTAACAATACTTAGGAAAATATTACACTTCTGTGAAGCACATACAACCCTTTTTGGGGGGCATGCCATGGCCTTCTTCCCCAAACTATACAGTCTAACAACTATTTACATAACAGTTACATTATATCAGGTATTAGTCATGCAGAGCTTTAATAAGGTGTATGAGCTTATGTGCAGAAGTTCTGTACATGTCTGAGAGACTCCAGCATCTGCAGTGCTGGCACCCCTGGGGGTCCTCGGGAGCAGCGCCCCGAAATGCCAAGGGACTGCTGTCCTTCATGGGATGCAAGTGAGGTTAGAAGTATTATTCAATGCCTGCACAGATGAGCACACGTTAGAGTACAGAATGCAGAGCCTGGCACACGGCAAGAGCCCAGTGACTACGAGCTACAGTAGTTGGCATTAGGAGGCAGGAAAGTACTTCTGAACGTGCTTAACCTGGTACCTGGCACGTGCCCAACACTCAGTAAGTAGTCTCTAGTGTTCTGTGGTTGTTACTGTTACCTGGGTTATGAGTTCTTGATGGTGCTGACATGTTTGTTGATAACTGTTTTGTTTTAGTCCTACCATAGGAATGGTGGTAAGAATTATCTTGAAGAACTTAGATTTTTTTTTCTTTGTCTTTCTTTCTTTCTTTTTTCTTTTTTCTTTCTTTTTTTTTTCAGTACCAGGGATTGAACTCGTACCTGGCACTTGCCAAGCAAGCACTTATTCTACTGAGCTTTCTCCCTGGCCCACAAACTTAGATATTTTTGGTGGAACCGGGGATTGAACTCAGGCCCTTGCTCTTGCCAGGCAAGTGCTTACTCCACTGAGCCATCTCCCCAGTCTCCAGATATATTTTTCATACTCAGAATAGAACCCGTTTTGGGATGGGGAGATGGCTCAGTGGAGTACGTGCTTCTCTGGCAAGCGCAAGGCCGGAGTTCAATCCCCAGTTCTGCTAAAAAACAAAACAATACCAAAAAAAAAAAAAAAAAAAAAAATAGAACCCGTTTTTATTTTGACACGGGGTCTGACCAAGTCGCCAGTTTGTTCCCAGTAGACTCAGACTGGTGATTTTCCTGCCTCAGCCTTCCAGAGTGCTGGAATTGCAGATGTGTGCCACCACTCCCAGCTCCATCTTTAGGTTCTCATCCTTCCCTCTCTGGTGAATTCCAGCCAGGGAGGCTCACTCTGTGTTCCTCAGCAGGGTGTCAGCCTGTCCACACCCCTTTCTGTCCCTAAAAGCTGAAGCTGGCTTGGTCCCTAATGCTACCTGAATTTTGGCAGATTCAAGGCTAGATTTTGTTCTTCAGTATGGCCACTGTCATTTTCAGTGATCGGGGTGATTTTTTTTTTTTTTTTTTTTAATCAAAGAAGAAAGGAAAAGAAACGAATTGTGAGGTTTCTAGTTCTTATGTTATGTTCCCAGAGAAGGAATATACTTTTGCAAAATAGATCTGGAATACACGTACTATTACCGTAAGTAGGCTCCAAGTACATCCTGTAAGAGCTGAACTCAATCTGCAAGCAATAAAAGGTAGGATTTGAAAATCATTATGCATAGAGAAGTCCAAGATTGAAGCTTGGCGAACAGTGGCAATTAAGGAGTTGTGGAATCCAGCTCACTTCTGTTCTCCCATCTGCCTGGGTCATGTCTATCTTTTAGCTAGGATTTTTCCCCCCTTAGCATTAATCTTTAATTCCTTATGATGTCATGGTCTCTTTGTATGTATGCTCTGTCACAAATAAGATACCTCAGCTTATTTTTGAAGGAAGAGAGACTACAGCCGCATTTATTAACCGCTAGTGATTAAGCGCCATCCCTCTGAGAGGTTGGACAGAATTGTTCTGTCCATTTTACAGATGAGGGGGCTGGGGCTCAGAGAGGGCCAGTGGCTTGTTTGGGCTCACACAGCAGAGGTAGCAGAAGGGGGGGTTAGAACCCTGGTCTTGCCAGAGTGCATAGCCCGTGCTCCTGACCCAGTGCTATAAAAAATATCCCACAGTGGTCTAAATCCTATCCCCGAGTCAGATTGGTTCCCAGAAACTTGCACAGAGGTTGTCCCATTCCCTGGTCAGCCACTGACTCCAAGGGGACCGGGATGTGGCTTCACCAGCATGGCCCCCTCTCTGTCCCCCAGGCATTGCCGTGTGCATCGGGATGGCCAGCACCTTCGCCTACGCCAACTCCACGCTCCGAGAGCAGGTCTCGCTGAAGGTGAGTTGCCCTGCGAACCCGCCTACTGGCTGCTGTAGTCACAACAGCCTCCGTGTCCTTGCTCAGAGCTGTGCTCATCAGAATCCCGCAGCGGGCTACCTAGGCTGAGGCCGAGGCACCCACGGGCTGTGTGGGGAGAATCTGCTGCTTGCTCCCCTTAGAACCTTCGCGCCCTGGGACCCTCTCTTCTGCCTCCCACCACCCCTTCATGTCCTCGGCTCAGCTAGCCAGCCACCTGTCCCGGGACCCCTCTGCCCAGTCATCCATCGTGCTCACCAGTTCAGGGTGGGGACATGGGCTCCTTGGGAGGTTGATCTCCTTCCTGCCGCCCCTGGGAAGGTCCCAGAAGTATCATTCCTGTCCCATGCCCTCCACGCAGGCTGACCCCTCTTCTCCAGCTGCAGTACCTCACTGGTCCCCCTCCCCAGCCGCCTTCCCTTCTGCATGCAGCAGTTAGTTCACTTCCAGCCCACCATGTGGCTGAGGCCATCTCCAATGCCGCTGGGTAGACCTGGGACTCCACCCCTGTCCTCCTGAGCTTGGTGCTGAGCCCGCTGCTAATTGCCTGCAGATTGGTCCCAGCAAAGAGAAAAAGAGCCTTCTCATTCTGTGATTCCACTGAAGAGCTGGCTCAGAGACACTGAGCTCCTTGCCTGAGGTCACACAGCCGGGGCAAGTGGGCCTCAGGATTGAAACCCAGGCTGATGATGGAGGAGTCTGTATTCTTCCACCCACCCGCAGGCCCTCAGACAGGTTATTCCAGCCTCGGGCTCCGCCTCTAGGCTTCACATTTTGAACGTGGGTTTTATTCTGGGCTGATCCTCTTCGGAAGGTGGGCAGCGACAGTGAGCTGTGCTGTGGGTCAGCCACACGATTGCAAGAGGAAATAACTGAGATTCTGTGGGGCGCATCTACTGGGAAATTAAGTGTGGTAAATGCATTTCAACTTAATGGTATTTTTGACTTTCGGTGGGCTTGGCAGAGGCATGCTCCTTCTAAGTCAGGGAGTGTCTACATTTGTGTCAGTCCCTAGGCTCATGGCAAGGGTTACCTGAGACAGGAGAAGGTGCTTAGCACAGTGCCCGGCATGTGGGAGACATTTAATTGAGCTGCTTTGTCACATCAGTGCTTCCATCTGTGCCCCATCTTGCAGCCCCTTCTATGTCATCATCGTCTTCCTATGCACAGAGGGCAGCCCAGTCTCTGCCTGTGTACCACGCGACCCTCGGCAAGTGTGGGGATCTCAGCTGATCCCCGCTTCCCATGCTCTCCTGCTCCTGCTCGAGGCCTTACTAATCCATTCTGTCTGTGCCACCTTTGCTTTGGATTTTCTGAGAATGAAAGGAGGTTCTGTTATATATCAGGAGAAGAAAGGTTGCCATAGGGCTTAATCATGTTGATAAGAGCCACTTGGTTGGAGGTAGCTTCTGCCGTCGCCAGCCTTGATCGCCTCTGGAATCACGAGTGGCCGCAGATGTGCTTGTTTCAGCCACTCTGGAAACAGGCACTGCGTACAGCATGTGGGGCGCTGGGCGGTGTCTAGAGACAGCGTGTATTGAGCACTTACCGAAACTGCTGGGAAGGTTACACTGGGAAAGTTATGACCTCATTCTGTTCCAGCAAGGCAAACATAATAAGCTGCTGAGAATCAACAGCAGAGGGGCCTTCGCGCATCTCCCAGGGTACAGGCCAGGGAGGCGTCCCTGTCTGCTCCTTCTCTGGACATTTCACTGTCAGGTTCAGAAGTTTCTGGGAAGCAGCTCCATGAGGCTTCCAGCTTTTCTTCTCGAACCCCAGAGATTCAGCAGGAACGGAGCTGTACTGTGAAGTGCTTGGTTGGCCTTGTGTATGTGTTTGAATTGAATGCTGTCAGTGTGGCTAGACCTTGAACTCTGGGGGAGTAAACCCACCAGAAACAAGTGTGAACGGAAGGTCCAGCTCTGGCTCCAAACATACTGCCAGGATGTCACACTGGGTGCTGCCCACTAGAAAGCTAAAACAGAGCCCAAGCCAGGATGAGGTTACAGGCATAAATTGGACTCAACCCTTACCAGCTTAAGCGAGAGTACTGAAGCTTAAAACCCGTACCCTTGAGCAGAAGTTACTTAGCCTCGCTGCACCCAGCTAACAGTGAGTGCAAATTTAATTCTTACTACGTGTTGGGTGGTCTTCCAGGCACTACACGAAGTGCTATCAAAGACCGCCCTTGCACTGTTGTGACTACATATGCCCCGAATTGATTTACTACAATAATTTTTTAAATTTGTTTATTTTTTTTAATTTAAATACATCATATTTTTGGGTAAGTCCTTGCATTTTCAGTTTTTCTCATGATTCTGTAAGGTAGACACTAATATAGACCCATTGCACGGATAGAAAAGAAAATGCATAGAGCTCAAGTAGCTTTCTGGACATTGGATGCCTCCTAGGTAGCCGACTGAGGACTTGAACCCAGGCCACCTAGCTCCCAAGTCTGTGTCATGAGCCATGTGCCCTCTGCTCTTTCTGGATGGTTCTCCAAGCAGGTGTCTACTATGCTGTCACCTTCTCTGTGGCCACTCTTTGGGTCCCAGTGGGGTAGAAAATGTCCTTCTCTTTACCATTGGCCCTTCTTTCTCCAAACCTCTGAGACAGTGAAGTTTCTACTTACTCACGAACGTTCTGGAATGTTCCGCCCCGTGTACCTTTGACATTGCAGCATTCTCACTGATCTCTCGCTTCCTCTGCAGGAGAAGAGGTCCGTGCTGGTCATTCTGTGGATCTTGGCCTTTCTGGCCAGCAACACCCTCTATGTGCTGTACACGTTCAGCTCCCAGCAGCTGTATAACAGGTGAGCAGAGCAGTCTGCCTCTACCCGTCCAAGAGTGGGGGACGGGGACTGTGTTGGGTTTGGGACACAGCCCTGCGGTGGCACAGAGCATACCACCTCTACGTCATGTCATAAAGTTTAGATTCCACCCTGTTGTTATGTACTTGTGCCTAGGACAACAGTCTCTGGCAGAGATTTAATAATGCAAGCCACATATGTCATTTTACATTTTCTAATTGCCACATTAAAAAAAAAAAAACAGGTGGAATTAATTCTAATATTAGATGTTATTTATCACACGGTAGTCGGTCCTCCGTATCTGTGGATGCAGTATCCATGGATTCCGCCAACCTCAGGTGGAAATGTTCAGAAAAAAATACCATCAATGCTGAAGACATACCGATTTTCTAATAGTACAGCAACTATTTCCATAGCATTTATGTTGCGCTAGGTCTCAGAAGTAATCTAGACCCAACTTGAAGTACACAGGATGATGTGCCTAGGTTTCAAGCACACACTCTGTCATTTTATGGGAGACTGGAGCATCCTTAGATCTGGGTACCCATGGAAGGTCCCAGGACCAGCCGTACTAGCATACAGGAGATGACCATGGATCTAAATGTCACTTCAGCAAGCGGTCGACATAGAAGCTATCAGGGGGCTGGGGAGATGGCTCAGTGGATAAGTGCTTCTCTGGCAAGTGCAAGGGCCTGAGTTCAATCCCCAGTTCCAAAAAAAAAAAAAAAAAAAAAGCTATCAGTGAGCTGTTTTGCATCCATTTTTCCACGTGGAGTCTTTGCAATCCAGCACATGGTACCCACAGCTGCACTCCAAGCTCGACATGGACTTACTGCAAGACTCGGTGATTACCTCTATGGTAGATGTTATGCTGGCCACCGAAACTGGGCGTGGTGGTGCACACCTGCAATCCCAGAACTGGGGAGGCTGAGACAGGAAGATCACTGTGAGCCCAAGCTGTGTAGTGAGACCATGTACCAAATACATAAATAAAAGATTTTAAAATTATGGTTAAGTAGCAAGCCACAGTTAGCAAACTTTTAACTGTCCACCTATTTTATTAATAGTTTTCTTAATACTATTTTAATGGAACCAGCTGCACCTGTCCATTAACTCATGGTCTGTGATTGCTTTAGTACAGATGAATACTGGGACAGAGACCACACAATTCCAAAAGCTAAAAATATTTGCAATCTTGGATGTTTTCCTATACTGGGGACCCGACTGAGGGGTACTCTCCTACTGAGCTATATCCTCTTCTATTTCTTGAGACAGGGTCTCACTAAGTTGCCCAGCTGGCCTTACATGTGCAGTCCTCCTGCCTCAGCCTCCAGAATGACCGCAGACACAGGCCACTATGCCCAGCTAAGATTTGTTCTTTTACAGTAAATGTTTGTGGAGCCCTGATGTAAAATATTAACAGTGGTTCTCAAGATGTTAAATATGTGGATAATTTTATAGTTTTCTTTATGATTATCTGTGTTTTGTAAATTATTTGTAATGGACACATTTTCTTATCAGAGCAATGCTTTTTCTTCGAATATGGAGGAGTAAAAATGTTTGCCCCATCCAGTTTGAGCAGGGAAGAAACAAGATCTCCCTGCTTCTCTTCCACCCCAAGCGTGTCATGTGACCTAGGTACCTGCTGCTCACGTGACTTGTTGACTCACAGTTTTGTGTCACATGGTACCAGATGGAGAAGCAGAGTCCAAGAAACTGAACGGCTTACTTAGCCCTGAATTATCATCTGCTTCCTTAAGATGTCCCAGCCACCTTGGCAGCCAAGTACGTGGAAAGTCATCTGAAGCAAGCAAGCCTTGCTCCCAGGTCTTCCAACATACACCAAGCACGCGCACCCTCCCTCACAGCTGGGACCAGTGATACACACCTGTACGTCCAACACTCGGGGAGGCTGAGGCAGGAGGACCTCAAGCATAGGCCACTATACAACTTAGTAAGAGCGTGTCTCAGAATCTATAAAACAATTTTTAAAAAATTCAACGGGCTGAAAATGAACTCCGTTTTCAGGCCTGTGTTCAATCCCCAGGGCTGGAAAAACAAAACAAAACATCACCCCATGAATATGCTGGACAGTCAGACTTCTCAGTTCTTTCTGAGCTGCTGTGGAGATTTCCGTTAATCTCTTAGGGTGTTGGTTTCCCAAGGACCCAGTATGATGCTTAATCCTAGTTCTATCCCATCAGTATTTATCAGATGAATAAATCTCCAAATTTTGATAGTATTTTTCTGTGTTCAAAAGTAATTTATTTTGGGGCTGGTGAGATGGCTCAGTGGTCTAAAGCACCTACTTAGAACAAGCTTAGCAAAGCACAGGGACC